CTAAAACACGTTGTTACTACGGAGCTGAACCAGAGGAGAGGGTACCGCAAGAGTACTGCGACCTGGCTTGTGATGGGAGCCTTGAAGATACTCAAAAGACTTGCGGTGGAAGGAGATTCTTTTCCGTTTATTCTGGTGAAGTTTCCAAAAGAAAATTATTGTTTAAAAAGCTTTTCATTGTTTTGTTTGTCTTTTTGGTAATGATGATGGCAAGCTTCTTTTTAATTTAATTTTTTTACTTTGTAATTGCTTGTTTTGCGAATCTCAAGCTGAGCCCAGTTGAATATTCAGAATTGGTCTAGGGGAATTAATTGATTGATTAATCGATTGATTGATTTTTTGTAGAATAAAAATGTATAAAGTTATTAAAAAACAAAATTAATTTAGAGTAAAAATTTGTTTGGTTTCCTGTAATTTAAAAGAACAGAAAACAGCAAGACAGATATAAGCAAAGTATATACATGATAATATTTCTAAATAGCAACTAAACCGTGAATATGATTACTAATCTGAGTTAGCTGAATTTCTGCACCAACGACTGCACAAATTCAAGTGACAACAACAACGGTAAAAAACAACTCACAATGAACGAACGCACTTCAGGCATAGTCACCGAGAAGATGATGCTGGGCTGTTTCAGGAGGTCTCTATATGATAAGAAAACTCAGCAGCATCAACTGGACGTCGACCCACGCACGGCTTACGGTTCCTGCTTACTCATATGCGTCCAAATGCACCCGAAACATTTCGGAATCAAGGTTTACTAGAGTTTACTAAATTGAAAATTATCAATTTTTAGAGTTGGAATAGATTCCATATTTATTAAAATAAAGAATGGAAGACGGTGCATATGTGGCGATTTGTTCGTCCCAAACGAGTTGCTACCTCTGTCGGAATGCGATGTAGTTTGCGGGGACAACCCCAAAAAATTTTGTGGTGGACGCGAGGCCTATTCCATATATACCGGTTTGTTTTAAATTCAATAGAACTTAATGGCGAAATGTTGGCTTGATTGTTTGAATGCCGTGTCCAAGGCTGCTGGGACTTACTTCAGTTGCCAAAAAATCTGCGATTTACACGTGCTTCTATCACTAATGTTTTAATTTCAAAACATAACACGTGCATGCAGATTTTTACAACGTTTCTCCGTCAAATATTGAAATAGATCGTTATAAAACTAAATAAACGAGTTCGAAAGTTTAAAGTTTAAAGATTTTTTTAAAACTCTTTAAAATGCGACTCTGTCAAACGGAGACCTGCTTATTCCTGACCGGTCGTTCTATTTCTATACTTATAATTAAACTTTCGTGCCACAAAGGCTGTAATATCCACGCCACACGACGCATATACAAATTATGTATGCACGCGCAGGCACCGCATTATACGCGTCTCTGAATGTTGGATAGTCAGTTATCGAACCATGCCATCGCGTAATAGCAGCGCGAGACGTGGCCCTCCTACCGACTGAGCTAGCCGGGTGCCCAAATAAAGATAATGACACAGATTTTAGTGAATAGTTAACTAATTGGAAAATCTAAATTTCATTCAAAGTTATTTCAGTTAACCAATTGGAAAATCAAAATTTCATTCCAAGTTATTTCAGTATTAAAATCATCCAATGCAGTATTTAACATCTACAACTTCTCCGAACCACCGAGGATAAATCACTTCTGCACGAATCAAGTGCCTTTCGACAACCAGTCCTGCCTGCCAGGGTCTTGCCAGAGCGGCTGGACTGGACTGCACTGTGACGAACGTGGTCAGTTATTCAGTTAATCGGTCAACCTGTAAAATATTATTCGATCGTTCGGTCAGTTGAATGGTCGGGTAGTTGATTAGATTGGCTGGTCGGTCGGTCGCTCGATTAGTTCTTCAATGAGTCAATTCGTCAGTTATTATGGATCTTTTAACTGTCATTTAAACCATGATCAAATAATTTAATGTTATCACAGATGATAGAAAATATAAATATTTAATAAACTATTATTGATTTTTATTAAAAATAAAATTTAGGTTAAAATCTAACAATAATTACTGCACAATGTTGATAAATTGACACGTTTATTTACACCGCACTAGATTGCTTGGTGAATAATGGAGGATGTGGCCAGACAATGCTTTGCAAAGTTTATATCGGCTTATTCTGCCATTTTCTATTATTCTCGATTGAATTTTAAAATTTGTCAGAAATACTGAACTGTTAAAATGAAACATTTCTGCTAATTAGAAACGCTTTCAAGACACTTTGAGATTAGCCCTGTACAATTGTCAGCTCATTGGGTGGCGGAGTGGTGAAGTTGCTTGGCACTGTTGCAATGACCTGTTTCGAATGCAAGCTTATCCCCCCCCCCCTATCCCATGCGGAATGTGTTTTGATGCACGGATTCACGCGTGTTTGCTGCTAAGAGAGTATATGGAAAATGATACGGTAGACGATTCATTGAATGATTTTTTATTGAATACGATCCACTCAAGTTTCATATACCTTTATACAATTGTTTTATTAGGATTTATATAAATTTTATTATAAAACGCAAAATAATAATAATAATAATAATATAATAAATGTAATAGTAGTATTTTACTACTAATAATAATATTAATAGAAAACCGCCCTGCTGACCGAATGTCAGCACCCCGAGAGTAGAGTAATATACAGAAATGGATCCTTCGGTGGTTTGTTGGCCTATTGTGTGACATTATTAATAACGTAGTGTTCGTTTATAGCGTTGTATGTGCTTATAACGAAGTGTCTGTTTATAACGTAGAGTTTGTTTCAACTTAGTGTCTCTTTATAACGTAGCATGTGTTGTGTTTATTGTGTAGATAGGTTTATATTTTGTTTTCTTTTCATTTAATTTTCAATTATTTTGTTTTGTAAATGTGTTTCTGACACATACACACAGGACACACACACACACCACACACACACACACACACACACACACACACACACACACACACACACACACACACACACAGATCTAGTGAAAAATTTAACGTTTAAATCCAGCGACGACGATTCTAACCATACCAGTGATACAAATAAAGGCTTCAAATTCACCAATATCTATTTCATCTTTACCATCATATCCCCACTTCTTGTTTTCGTACTTCTATTTTGGGCTGTCTACAAGTGCTTGCAGTTAAAATCTCAAACACTTGAGAGTACAATAATTGGTGTTAGAGAGCAAGGTTAAGTTCTTAATTTAAAGGAAATATTATGATTTTGTTAAATTTTAATTAATTCATATGAATTTTATATAATTAATTTTAAATTTTAAAAATTAAATTAAATAATTTAATTTTGTGAGCATTTTTTTTTCACACACAAAGACACCCAGTCTAGCGAGCAAGGCGACAAATGTAAATATTTTCCTTTTCTTTTAAACGTTGAAGTTGAATTATTTTATCAAATAATTTTATTTTGTATGCCACACGCACACACACACGCACGCACACACACACGCACACGCTTTTACACATATACACACGCCACACACATACACGCGCGCACACTCATAAAATTACAAAAAAAAATAAAATAATCTTCGGTTCCTGAATCTAGAATTAAAATTCTTGTAATAAATAAAAGATAATAACGTAAAATAAATTTAAATTAAAAAACAAAAAATTACGAAAAATAATTACAGAAAATACCTGCCAAAAGTAAATTCTTGTCACAAGAAACATGGAAAACCATAAGCGAAAGACAGAAAATTTGAAGTCAAATTTACCAACCATAGCATCATAACTTTTTTACATTTTGATTAAATAATTTATAGATAGTTTACTACCATAATTTATAATTAATTTATTATCCTGTCTGACTATTTAGAACTTGTTTGGCAGTTTAAAAAATAATTTTCTTTAATGTGTTTTGTTAAATTTTTTCTAGCCTAGAAGCTGAACATCGCTGAGTATTTCAGAATGTTCACAATTGATGAACTGTCCCCGAGTTTAACTTTAATTTTTTTATTACAATTTCCTCTTCAACGACTTTCAGAGGCATCAATTTGTATTTATACAGCAGCGTACTTCCTAAAAAATTTATTTTCGAAATATTATTTCACAATCTTTGGTTACTCTGGTGACGCGCTTATGTTTATAAGCAACATTTTCTGGCGTCTCCATTTGAAAAATATATCTCGTCTGTTCTCAATTAGTTGAAATAAACTTGTTTTTTCCGAATTAACTCATTTTAAAATTGAATATTAAAATATTTTCGTTAGACAATTTTTAATAGAATTAACTTTGGTTTATAATAAAATAAATGTATAACTAGACACTAAACGATTTCAATCAACTTAGTAATCATGCTATCTTATCTATAATAAATAATTTAATAGTTCAAGATAAAACAGTTATATAAGTTAATTAGTAAATCAATAAATAATTCAAATAGTCAATTAACCAATTAGTTCGCTGGTCAACTAACCAAACAAACAACCAATCAGCCAATCCATTAGCAATAGAATTAAGTTACAAAATTTATTTTATATAAACGATAATGTCTGTGGAGACTTTGTTAAAAATTTTCCGAGCCAGACGTGATTCTAAGGCTGGTGAATGAATGAATGAATGAATGAACGAATGAATGGATGAATGAATAAATGAATGAATGAACAAATGAATGGATAGATGAATGAATAGATGAATGAAAGAAAGAACAAATGTAAGAAAGAGTAAGTGAATGAATGAATGAATAAATGAATGAATGAACGAATGAATGGATGGATGAAAGAATAAACTAAACTATTTACTCAAACAATACGAATAACTATAATAGTATCTTGTGTTAGCCTAGGTTAAAATGCATACAGTTTGACATCATTGAAATATCACATGTGTGTGCCTATTTTGGCATACAATACAATCAAATTTGCATGTTAGTCGCAATAATCTGCAAACAATACAATAAATGCAATACAAAAAACCAGCTTTTCAATACTAACAATCGGCCATCCTTTAAACCTATTTGGGTGCCTATCCAGGTCTTCAAGTACCAGGGAGAGTACAACGAGTTCAACCAGAGGCACGGCTATGGGCGGGCAACCTTCCCCAATGGGGATGAATACGAGGGGTACTATTCGTACGGAAAGAGACATGGGTTTGGGGTTTATAAGTAAGATGATTTGTTGGTTGGTTGGTTGATTGATTGGCTGATTGGTTGGATGGTTGGTTGGTTGATTGATTGGTAGGTTGGTTAATTGGTTGGTTGGTTGACTGATTGGCTGGTTGATTGATTGATTGGTTGGCTGATTGATTGATTGATTGGTGGGTTGGTTGATTCATCCACATATTTTTAAACACACACATAATACACATACACAAATGTAATAAGACAAACACACACACGCATCTACACACATGTACTCACACACACACACACACACACACATACACAACCGTGAATACTTACGAACGAACGCAAAAATTTTTCCGTACGATCGACAGGGTATTCGAATCCGGACACTCAATGCTTAAAATCAGACGCTTTTAACCACTACACTACATACAGCCCAGCACATGTATATTGTCAATATACGTCTATATTGAAGAAAATTTGATGTTTTAGGTACAAAAATGGCGCAGTTTACGCTGGGGAATTTTGCAACGGACGGAAGAATGGGGTGGGAAAGATCATATATACGGATGGATCAAGTTACGATGGTGATGATGACAATGACAATGATGATGATGGTGATGACGATGATGATAACGATGGTGATGATGATGTTAATGGTGGTGGTATCATTATCGTGATCATCGCCACCACCACCATCATCATCATCACGCAGGCAAATGGAAAGATGATGACAGACATGGCTTCGGAATATATAAATATTCTAATGGAGATGTTTATGAAGGTTTTTTGACGTTTCACTCCTCTATCCACTTTTTCAAACTTTCATTCATTCGTTCATTTGTTCATTCATTCGTTCGTTCGTTTGTTTATTCATTCATCCAACCATTCATTCACCCATCCATTCATCTACTTACTCACTTCCTCACTCACTCACCTCACTCACTCTCTCACTCATTCACTCACTAACCCATTCATTGATTCACTCTTTCAATCTTTCCTTTATCACTCCCTACTGAAACACAGGAAACTGGTCGGACAACCAGAGGCACGGCTCTGGCAAGTACACTCACCTAAGTACCAACATGCAGTATATCGGCACGTGGGATAACGGATCCAGGAATGTGGATGGCAATCTCCTGGATATCAACATTGCCATCTACCTTGACGACCTTCATAAGGTGAGATTTTTTTTCTTTCTACTCTTTTTTCTCTTCTTCTTCTTCTTCTTTTTCTTCTTCTTCTTTTTCTTCTTCTTCTTCTTCTTCCTCTTCTTCTCCTTCTTCTACTTCTCCTTCTTGTTATAATAATTATTGTTGTTGCTAATGTTATTAATGTTTTTGTTTTGCATCATCATCATCATCATCGTTGTCGTCATCATCACCACCAACATCATCGTCGTTATCATCACCATCATCGTCACCATCTTCATCATCATTATCAGCATCATCATCTTCATCACCAGCTTCATCATCCTCACCTTCATCATCATCATCATCGTCGTCATCATCATCTTCATCATCATCATCATCCAGATAGAAGCAGACAGAGAGATACTGAGAAAATTCAAGCGCAACCAACTCGCCGAGATAAGAAAAGAGAAAGGTAAGAACACCTAGGCTGACCTGATAGCGTAGTTTGTAGTGACCGGGTTCGATCGCAGAGACGTCTCTATGAAATCATGCACCTGTGTAAAAACTGGAACATTAATACCATTATTATTATCATTATTATTACTATTTTTTAATTTTTACTACTATACCGTACCACAACTTACATATAAATGACATTACATAGTATATATATTTGATGAATTATTTGGTGAATTATTTGGTGCATTATTTGGTGAATTATTTGGTAAATTATTTGGTAAATTTTTTTGTAAATTATTTGGTTAATTATTTGGTAAATTATTTGGTAAATTATTTTGTAAATTATATGGCGAATTATTATGTGAATTATTTGATAAATTATATTATAAATTACAGGCATTGGGCATGAAGTCAAGCCGCAAGAAATAATTACGGACTGTTAATATTCATTTTTTTTTTGAGATTTTTAATTTTTCTGATAAACCTTTTTTCCATTCATTCATTCGTTCGTACGTTCGTTCGTTCGTTCGTTCGTACGTTCGTACGTTCGTTCGTTCGTTCGTTCATTCATTCGTTCGTTCATTCATTCATTCATTTATTCGTTCGTTCGTTCGTTCATTCGTTCGTTCATTCATTCGTTCGTTCATTCGTTCGTTCGTTCGTTCGTTCATTCATTCATTCGTTTGTTCGTTCATCATTCATTCAGTAGCTAAAACATTCGTTCGTTCTTTTATTGATTAGTTCTCTATTGTTTATCTATATATGTATATTTATACGTGAATCTACTTTTCTTTCCATTTATTGATTCACATCTATTTATTAGTTCATTCATTCATTCATTCATCCATCCATCCATTCATTCAGTCATTCATTCATTCGTTCGTTCGTTTGTTTACTCACTCACTCACTCATTTATTCATCCATTCAATAATTCATTCATTCATTCACTCACTGACAGTCATGAACAACATCATCGTCCTTGTACCGGGTGGAGAAGCTCTATTTGAGAAAGGTAAATAACGATCCTGAAGACGATGATGATGACGATTATGATGATGATGATGTTGATGATGATGGCGATGATGATGATGGTGACGTGGTTGATGGTAATGATGATGATTTTATCAAACCAGCCAATCGACTACGTTGGTGGGACCAATCGGCTGTCAGATCTCTCTTGTCTTACAACAGGAATTAACTTTCGTCTGTCTGTGTTTTTGTGTGTCTGTGTTTCTGTCTGTCTGTCTGCTTGTGAATTTCTGTATGTTGTTTTGTAAGTTCGCCTGTTAGTTTGTCACTCTGTATATTTGTATGCTTGTTTGTCTGTTTCCTAGTCTTTTTGTTTCTCTGTTTATTAGCCTGTCTAATTCTTTCTTCTCGCTTGTTTGTCTTTCTTTTGCTTGTCTGCTTGTCTGTCTACTCGTATGTCAGTCTGTCTGATTGTCCAACTGTCTGTATGTTTTCAGTTTTCGGCTTTTATGGAATTGTTGTGTGCAGTTTTTTAATACCTAGCCAACTGTTAATAAAATTGTTCTTGCGACATTATTTGGTAAAATGTTCTATGCAGCCTTTCCCATAATAACTCCCGCTTTCTCTCTTTTTTTCTCTCTCTCTCTCTCTTTCTCTCTCACTCTCTTTCTTTCTTTTCTCTCTTTCTCTCTCTCTTTTCTCCGATTTTCTTTCACTCTATCAGAATTTTTTATGATATTTTTCTTGAATCAAAGGTATTTTACTTCTCATGTTCTACTCGTTCTTATACGACGTGTCTTTTCATTATTATTTATTATTAATAATAATATTCAGGCATTATTTTTGTATATTTTATATTGTCATCTTCAATTATAGCTTATATTTATAATATACTCACACACATACATACGTACGCACAAACAATCACACACTCACACACGCATATATTTGTCTATAAATATTGATAATAACTTATATTGCTTATGTTTTAGTTAATTTCATTTATGAAGATTGTTTTCGAAATTGTAATTATTTATATAGTTTATATTCTTATTGGCAAAGAGAAAAATTTTTCAAATTTTTTTTTTCTCCGTCAAAGCACTAAGCATAGAAAATCGTTTTTTGGATTGAAAAAATAAGAAAAAAGTCCCTTGAAAAAAATTATTTTTTCGTCCTAAAAATTTGAATGTATAGAAACGAAAAACACACACCACACACACACACACACACACACACACCACACACATAAACACACACTCGCATAAACACACACACAACAAACACACACTCAAATACATACATACAGACACACGCACAGCACACACAACAATTTTTCATGTGGTACTATTCGACTGAATGGAATCGTACACAGAGGTAAGAAAAATCGATAGGCTATCGATACGTTCGCTCCGACAAAAATCAAAATGTACCATCCCTTTTTAGTCCCTTTTTGTGTTCTTTGACGCCATTTATAACGTGACGAAAGGTCGTAATATCGTTAGAATAATAAAAAAAGAATAAAATGAATATTAATAAGGATAATAATTAATAACAAATAATAATAATAACAACAATAATAATTATGGTAATAATAAAAAGAGTTTAATATTGACGACCAGGAATACTTAGTGTTTTTGATAACATAATGTAGCTTACGTAACAAGATCAAGCTTTTGTGGCGCGCCTAACATTCTGGAGCTACTAAATTTGAATAAGCTGCTCAGAAAATACGTCCTAAGGCATCTAATAAAATCGTCTTTCCAGCCTATCAATCAATCAACCAATCAATCAATTAGTTTATAAAAAGTTATTTCCGCGATGTTCAACAGCGCTCCTCAGTGAATTTTGCAAACAGTTGGGTCTTGAGATCCACTCTGAACTTTAGAAGGGATGGAGAAGTAGTCAGAAAAAGAGGTAGAGAATTCCAGAGAAAAGGACCAGAAAACCAAATGCAAATTTAGCATAAGAGTGTTTAACACGAGCTGAGAAGAAGAACAAGACGATCGTAAACTGGGGCGTTTTTAGATTCAATTAATACATCTGACAAGTACTTGGGAAATAATTTAGATTGAGACTTATACACAAATGTGAAAATTTAAAAAATTATTTTATATTTTATAGGTAGCCAGTGCTAGAGAAAAAGATATGGAGATATATGAGAAAAGAAAGGGGCACGAGCGATTAATGTGGAGCAAAGTTAAAAGCTTTACTTAAAAGATAGAGTATAGCGAATCAAGAAGACCATAGTAGAGCCAGTTATAATATTCAATCCTAAATAAAACTAAAGAAGTAACAAGAAAGAAAAAAGTGGGATTGTCAAGAAAAGGCAAAAGATTTTTATCCTACGTAGATGAAAGTAAGAACTTCTAGCAACACCATAAACCGGATAAGAAAGAGACATAGTAAAATCAAAGATAAAGCCTAGACTACAAAACTTATGAAAAACATCAAAAGTTTTAGAATCAGGTTAGATAATAGAAGGAATAGTAATAAAACGTTTAGATTTATTAAAACAAATTAATTCAAATTTAAAAAGATTAAGTTTAAGACACATAGAGTCAGACCAAGCGATAATTGAAGAAAGACGTAGAGATAGATTATGAAGAATAATAAATACAAATTAATCCCTATTAAACAAAGTATATGGAGATACTTGCGACATCACAATCCCATGAAATTCATGCTAAAAGGAATAGCTCAAGAGTTTAGTTTTAAGTTGATTGATTGCGACGACAATCCACTACTTTCACTAAAAGAAACAATGTTGATGTTTGGTTCGACTTCGATTGTCTTTGCACCTCACTTAGCTGGTCTATCAAATGTGCTTTTCTCTCAACCAGAGAATCTGATCACTGAAATTCTGCGCCATTATCTCCATGTCAACTTATCCTACCTCTTTAGGACTACTTTTCTGTATTTCTCATTCGTATTTTCATCATTTCAATATTTGGAATTTCAAAATTGAAGGAGTATTAAAATTTTCTCTTCCGATTTAAATCTAAATTAATCAATTAATTGTTAAATTAGCCAATTAACTGTTATTTTTTTTATATGTTTGCCTGAAGGATATACATCTGCATGCCCAATTACACTTATAAAAAACATAAACAGAGAACGCAGTAAGTAAAACCCTTTCTCTTTCTCTCTCTTATTCTTTTTCTCTCTCTCTCTCTTACTCTCTCTCTCTCTCTTACTCTTTCTCTCTCTCTCTTACTCTTTCTCTCTCTCTCTTACTCTCTCTCTCTCTCTTTCTATATATATATATATATATCAAAAAAATATACGTTACCAGCTCTATATAAATAATAACACAAATAATGTGCGCTATATAAATAATTATGATGTCAATGTTAAAGTTGTTCTATAAAGCTACTATGATTAATTGAGTAAATTAATTAATTAATTAGTCAACCAATTAATTAGACAACCAATTAAATAAGTAATTAAACCATAATTAGATGCTTATTTGATTGATTGATCTTAATTGTCCTATCCATTAACAAGTTTTGTTCAATTACGTATTTCGAATTAATTACCAATAAATGATTGAAAAATACAAGTTTATTTGAATGAAATTGCATAACTTATTTGATTTTTTAGTCGTCAAAACTTATTTTTAGAAATTTTTCAAAAAAAAAATTTTGAAAACTAAATAAATATTTTTTGGGAAGAAATGATGTATGCAACACTAAAAGGCGAGATGGGATCGAGGAGCATTTCGACACAGACAGGGGATTGTTCATACTTACCTATTTCTTTGGAAGAGTCAGTATCATTATTGTTAAGTAATTTGATTAAGATTAAATATTATTAAAGATTAGTAGGATTAAAATAATTTAGAGTTAGTACAATTAAAACAATTAAGAATTAGTGTGATCTAACTGATTAAGAGTTAGTATGATTTAAATCAGGGGTGGGAAAACATTTTGCTGTGAGGGCTACATTGAGAACTATTTTACCTTTCAAGGGCCGCATATGTACTTGGATAGCATATTTTTTCAACCGTATAAAATAGCTTCGCGGGCTGCATGCGGCCCTCGTGCCGTAATTTGCCCATCTCTGATTGAAATGATTAAAAATTTGTATGGTTGAAATGATTAAGAATTTGTGTGATTAAAATGATTAAAACGAGTTAATCATCGTGATTAAGATCGTATTAGAATTATGAATGAGAAATGGATGAGCAATGATTATGATGATGATCAATATGGTCATCATCAACATCATGCTAAATAGAGTCGTCATCACCATCATCAACTTCGACATTACTAACAATGTTAATAATAATAATAAATAAAAATAATACAAATAATAACAAAATTGATAATTATAACTATCAAAATTTTAAAAATTATAAATATTAATAACAATAACATCTCAAATGCTAATAGACTCCATCTGGAACCTATTCTGGAGCGGGAAAACCCATTTTTACCCGGAAGTTCTCTGGATCAGAAGGCCACCTACATCGTAAAAAATATCGAGGTCAAGGGTAACGGAAGTAGGGTGCTCGTTTTTGACCCAGATCTTCAAGGTCGCCATAATTATTTTATGTTATCGATTAGCTATTTGAAAATTTATTAATCAGTAACAACATATAGTTAATTTCGCTGATGTTTTATGGTTTAAATAGAAATTTTTCATCATCATTTTAAATTGAAACAAATTTATTTCAACTTTTTTTAAATTTTTCTTATTTGACACTGTTTTAGCAAAATTAGCGCCTAAAAATGTTGATTAAAATAAACAAATTGGAGTTTAAACAAACATCCCACTTGTACAAATTTGAGAAACCAATTACAAAACTATCTATACATAACACGCTTATTAAAAAACACAGACTTGAAGCATGCAGCAGCTGCAGTAACGACAACAACAGATCGCATGACCACTCCATCCTCTTCTCTCGACTCCACATCTCTCTCCTGTTTGGCATCATCGCCCCTTTCGACCCCCAAAAAAGCGAAATACTTGTCCACTTTGACCTTGGACAAGAGCGCAAAAACTGCGAAATACATGAACGGGAACCATGAAAATTTCTACGAGTATAACAAGAAGCTGTACAGGAAGAAAAACGCTTACAACAGCAGTGGTATCAACGTTGATGTCATCAATAACGACAGCAATTGCATCAATTTTGATAGCATTAGCAACGATGATGTTATTGACAACAATGACAATAAAAACATCAGCGCATGCAATGGCTTGAACTGTAGGGAGGTAAACAGTGATACATACAACAACGTCAACAAGAGACCGGACAACACTTGCATCAAGGCTAACAAGAGCAAAACTTTGGATAAGAAACTTACACATCCTTCCAGTAGCCAGAACTACACTCCAAAACAGAAGTTGGACTGTTGGGACTTTAACGATTTTAGCGATAAGTTCATCGATTGTAATCAGTTCACGCCGATAAAAAAGCAATACCAGCAACATCAGCAGCAACAAACATATCCAAAACAACAACATCAACAACAAACACATTTAAAACAACAACAACATCAACAACAACAACAACAACATCAACAACAACAACATCAACAACAACATCAATGTCCCTACCAAAATCCCCACTACCACATCAAATTGTTTGATTATAAATTATTTAGCGCTTCATCGAAGCAATCTTTAAACCAACAAGCTCAAAACGCAGCCACCACGGCTACCGACACGTCAATAGATGGATCGTTAACACCGAACGAACTTTCCAGGAAACAACTCAACTCCGTCTTAAACCGGAACTTATCCTTGTGGCAGCTGAAGAGCAATGAAACCGGAAATGGCGGATTCAAAACTCATTATGACGTCATTAATTATTTGAAAAGCATGAAGGAGGATAGTTCTAACGGCGCCAGTAACAACATCAACCAAAATGTCGCAAACGATTACAACAACAGTTACATCAACAGTACCAGCAGCAATTATGACTACAACCAAAATTACATTAAAAGTATTTACAACAGTAACAAAAACAACAGTAACAACAACAAAAACAACAACAACATTGATAGTTCTACTTCAAACACAGACGAAACAATAAACAACAAGACCACCTCGATTGAGACGTCATTGAGCAAAACCTCGTACATTAACGGATCGCTACATGGCAAGTCTTATACCTTCACCGTTACCAACAGCAATAATTATAACAACAACAAAAACACTAACAACGCCAACTACAACAGCAACTACAACAACACTAAAATCAGCGTCAGCAACAAAAAAATTATATCTAAAAATGTTGTTCCGAACAATCTTTCAACAGCGAACATCACAACAACAGAGCATGGCAACAAATCATTCAATTGCAACAACTACATGATACACAGCAAAACAATTAACAACAACAATAACAGCATTAATTACATTGGCAATGAGCAAAATAGCAGCAGAAACAACTACAACAACAACCCCATCAGCCCTATAAAATCAGTTACAAGAGAAACATCTAACTTCTCTCGCTGCCCGCTGAGCGAGACTCACAACAAGTCACCTTTCCATCATTCCTCACACTCCTACATTTACGATACCTGCGACAGACAACTGAACAACACTCAATTCACAAATCTTCTCGTTTCCTATGTGACTAATGCTAAAAGGAAACCAAAAGAAGAGACCCAACCTAACGCAAAGCCTACGAAAAATACTAAAACATCACCAACCAAGAATTTTATAAAAACTGAAAAAGAGGCGGACGATACTGCCAATGTGTGCGTTAACCCTGTCCGAAGAAGTAGAGAGCTTAAAAGCTGTGAGAACATTCACTTCACTACAACCATTGCTATCGAGCAGGATGTCTGGCCCAAACAAATTATACTAAAACAAAATAATAATAAATTAGGAGGAAGTATAAAAAGAAGAAAATCATTAGTTTTGGCTCAGAATGTTGACTCACTAAGTGATTATGAAGATAATGGTGATCGAGGCTGTCAGACATCAAGAATCATCTATAAAAGTTCATACTGCCATCTAGTTAACAATGATGACGACGACGATGACGACGACATTGATGAGATTTATGAAAAAAATTTTGAAAATGATTTTATTTGCGGATATGGACAAAGTAGAAACGAACATTCTCGAATCAGAAAATTACAGAACGAAACCGCTGATGAACAATTTGAAATTGTGTCAGTCGTTAATTTAGAGGACGACAATGATAATAATGTAGATGTTGATTTGTTGGCAGAAAAACAGAGTCTAAAACCTGGAGGAAGGAGAGCCTCTGAAAATTTGGAAAACTTGAAAAGAAACTCAATGAATAAAGCTAAAAGCCAAGAAAATAATTTTCACCAAGGCAAAGAAGACACTGCTAACGATAAAAAATCCAAAAAGAAAGTATCAAAAAAGTCATCATCGGTGAAAAAAACTAAAGTGGACAACTCAAAAAACATAATCGGCGAGGCCTCGTTGGGACTCTACAACATTTTGAAGACTCAATCCGAGATGCATCTGCATAAATCCCGCAAGAAATCTTCATTGATTGAAAATTTGAAACCCTATCGCAAACTTTCGAGAATGGAAATCTATCCGTCCGATATAATGTATCCCGCTGTCCCATCCGGAATTCTTTCGGGAAAAAACATTGAAAGGATTAACAAGTGTTCCGTACAATGAGTTGTAACTCGTGGGTGCAACCAATTAATATTTTTTCAAATATCTTATGCGGTGATACTAACAATCCTTTAAGTACCATTTCAACGAAAACATTTATATTTTTATAAAGATTGTGATGAATTTTTGCTAATTTATTTTTATAAACTACAAAAGCGAAAAAGAATTTTAAAAAATTTATCGGAAATGACTAACCTATTCATATTTTTATAACAATTCACAATTAAAAAGTCTAAATAACATTCTGAACAAACGTGGTACAGAAATTGTTGTTCACTGATTTTTACTGGTGCAATATATTGACAGACTCACAAATTTCTAATTTGAGTTAAGCCTAATTAAAAATATTCTAAAATATCAACAGAAAATTTGCTAAACGAAATGAACTACTCAAATATTTTCAACACGACCAAATAGAATGAAATTCTATACTTCTCGAATTCACCAACAATCTTTCATGTCTAAAAAATTCGAGACTCGTTTTGAAATTTGGAAAAAACATTTCCTGATCATTTTTGAACTATTTTTTACTGAAGTTTTTTACCATTTCAACTAAACTTTTAGTATCAGAATTTACAGAATTGTACTTTTTTCGAAAACATTTTCCTACCAGCCCGATTCAAACGTAGCTATATACATTCATCAGTCAGTTAATATTTACACTATAACGTTTAAAATGAATCATAGAATAAGTTTGATCTGGACTGGTAAATTTATTTTATCTTAAAATTTTGCCCAGTGGCGCATCTAGGGGGGTGGATTATCCCGTTGTGAGGTATCCTTTTAATAAAAGTCATTAAAACAATTTTGTAGACAGGAAAATACCGTTTTTAAGTACAAAATCGACATAAACAGGGGTTATAAACTAAAAAAAGATCGTCAGTCTAATTTCTTGGCTCCCGGTCAAAATTACAAAATTTTGACCCCAGTCAACGTTGTCTAGATACGCCAATGATACTCACAATAATGAAAGACTAAACAATTTTTGTAAAATATTGTTAAAAAAATATACATCAATTGAATAAGAATGCGTGTTAGTTGAACAAAGTATAAAAATTTATTTATAAGCGTTAACTGTGTTCTATCTTCATGTTCTTATTCAACTTAACGTAGTATTCGACAAGGATAGATCTGTTAAGATTATGGTATCCATTATTTCATATCGTAAAGTAATTTTATTTTATTTCATTTATTTATTATGAATCGATTTTTAAACTTTTGGTTCGTAAATAAATCAACTGAGTTGTTTTTTTAAATTGAAAAAAAAACCCAAAATTTATTAAAGAACAAAAAATGCAGATAATCAAAAAGTCAATTTAATATAAATTTTAGCCAACCTAGGCTCCCCTCAGATAAATCTATAGAAGAATCTTTATTTAAATTTTTTAATGAAAATAATTGAAATGACTGAAATATTATTAATTAATTTAATATAAATTAAAAAATAAACGAATAGATAAAACTATAGATAAATAAATAAAAATGAATGAATTAACAAAAAACTTTTTATAAATCTACTTATAAATAAACAAATATGAATACTTTTCAGAATTAAAATCACCAATCAATATAAAGGCTAAATCTTTTTTGTAAAACATTGTTAAGTAATTGCTAAATAAAAAAAAAAATAATAATAAATTAATAGAAAAAAATTATAATTTTTTATAGAAGGATTTAAAAGTAACCGATTCTCCGATTTGTTTTAAGGGCTAACGCCTGCTCAATTTTTTTCGACTGCCTTTTGAAATAGGCAAAGAGAACTCCGAAGAGCAGAAGAAGGAATGATATAACGGAAAGAGTGATCCCGACTGTGACCATATTGATGCTTTGGTCATTTTTGTTTCCGTCAGCAGTACTGTTGCTGTCATCGTCGCTAGACGAGAAAGTCATATTGTCCACTATTTCTGTACGTGGGTATGTGTTTGCGTGTGTATGTGTTTGTGTGTGTGTGTCTGTGTGCGTGTGTGTCTGTGTGCGTGTGTGTGTGAGAAAAAAAATAATAAATGTTTAAAAAATAATTATTTTGAATTAATCTATATTTGGAAAACAAATAACAAATCTTTCAGAACTCGTGAATATATGATACGTGTATTAATTTGGTTAAAAACATAAAATACATATGCTATAAACCACTATATAAACACACACAGAAACTACGGTATAAACAGACACTACGTTGTAAACAGACACTACGTTGTAAACAGACACTACGTTGTAAACATGGTCACACAATGAACCGACAAACCGCCGAAAGATCCATTCCTGTATATTATTCTTCTTTCTGGATGCTGGCATTCGGTCAGTAGGTCGGTTTCCTGTAATAAAAAATTATAACGGCAAAATAATATATTTTTGTAAAACTATTTACAATATAAGTAGCATGATAAAAAATATCTTAATGTCTACCAATCTATACAAAAATTAGATTGAAATTTGTTTAAAAATTGACTCGAATTGATACGGAAAATATTCACAAAACATACAAAAACTTTTATCAGTGTTATAATAACTAGTTCATCCGATTGAATTATAAATATTCATATTTTCAATTTTATTTCCAAAAATCTAAACTGATCGTATAAGAAAGGCTGTAGGAACCTCGCAAAACATGGAAGGTCCGCATCCGCCGTTATCCTCTGAGCAATCTTGTGCCGTGTAAATTTTACATTTCAGCGTTACTATCGTCATCAACATTATTCTTATAACTGATTCTCTACATGTTATTTATTATTATTATAAACTAATTGGCTGATTGACTGACTGGCTGGTTAAATAGTTAGCCGACTGACTGACTAACTAAATAGTTAGCTGACTGACTAACTGATCAAATAATAACCTGACTGACCGACTAACCAATCGGCCGATCGACTGGTTGAATAATCAACTGACCAACAGACTGGCTAAATAATGAGCTAACCAGTTGACTGACTGAGCTATTAGCTGACCAGCTAACTGACTGAATAATTAACTGACTAGCCGACAAACTGAATAATTAGCTAACCAGCTGACAGACTAACCGCGCACATCGCAGAGCGGTCCCGACCATCCATTTTGGCACTTGCCAGGTACACAGGTTTCGTTGTTGAATGGCTCTTCGTTCATGCAGAATCTGTTTACGCGCGGCGGTTCCGAGAAGTTGTAGACGTTGAAAACTGCGATTTTCAAGTTTTTAATATAAATTCCGAATTTGATGGAGGAAATTTAGATTTTAGAGTTTTTGTTAACGTTAAACGATGACGTCACATGTGTAGAAGTTCTTGCGTTGGAATTGTAAAAAAAGACATAGCAGAGTTTGGAGAAAATTCTTTCAATCTAGATAAACATTAAGTGTTGAAGCAGTTGGAATTTTTTTCAAGTTTTTTTTAAAATATCTTCTTAATTTATAAACTTTTCCAACCTCAGAATGTTTTGGATCAACAAACAAATGCGAAACATGTTTACAAACAAACGTGCATGAATGAGCCAACTTCGCATATAATTAGAAATAAGGTTAGTAATAAAAAATTCCATTTGAACTTGACTTGGATCTAATCATCGTAACTTCGAAAGTCACATTTCTACATTTTAAAATCTTTTTGCAAGAGTCAATAAAATTCATGGGTACTAATAAACATCAACAAAAAACAAACAACACAAGCGCACAACAAAATAATTCGCTTGTGAAATGCGGATTTGTTGAGATTTGAAGCAAGTCCCTCCGACCTATTAAACGACATTATTACCAACGCATTTATAGGTCAAGATCTTTTATTAGTTTAAAAATGTTTGATAAAAATTGAAACAAACTCGAGTAAACCGAATAAGAATCACGGCCACCGCATGATTTCTTCGGGTTGTCCACGCAGACGACATCGCACTTTGAGAGAGGTAGCAGCTCGTTCGGGAGGAACAGATTCCCGCATAGGCATTGCTTGCCATTCTTTATATTTGAAAATTAAAAAAACAGATAAAGATGGAATTTATGTTGAAATCGAAAAAATAAAAATTGTGAAAAATTTCTATAGGGAAATAATGTTACGACAATAAACTCTGGCCTATCAAAATTGAATGATTTTATGGTTTTCTTTCTTTCTCGTGCCCCAGTCAAATTATCTGTAGTAATTTCCTCTTTTTATAACCGGTCTGTTTTAATACATCCTCATTCATAATTCATCTAAAAAACCACATCTTTTCACACAAAAATTTTCAAACATATGTTGTTTAGCATTGATTGGTGCTATGAGTCAAATTTTGCAAAAGTTGATAACATAAATATTTATTAGATGATAAAAAAGATTTATTTAATTCTGTACAAAAATAGATCAAAGGCCTGCAATCTTAAGGCCGCCTGCCAATAAAATCACCAACAAATCTACCCTAGAGGTTCCGAGTGTCAATTTATTAAACTCTAACAAATCAAAACATAGTAGAATTTAGGAAGTTAAATAAAATTTATATCAAACCTAGATAATATTTTGAAAAATTTTACCAAACCTTGATAGCAAAATGTTGTGGTTGCATTTTTTTGCACATGAGAAGGCAGGATCCGTAAGGGGTCAATGGGTTGATCTCAATTTTGTGATGTTTGGCACCCCTTTCATACTTCATTTGCCTAAAACAACCCATCAGTGTCTTCTCGGTGACTATACCTTATATGCATTCGTAAACTTTAAAAGTCCGACAATTTTTAAAACATTACGAAATAAAATAAAATAAATGTACGATATGAATGTTGCCTTAGTATGGGAGGATTCTAATTGTTTCTATATTTCAATTTCTTACGTTGTAGTTATTGTAGAAATTTTTCATATGGTATGCCAGTTTTTTAATTTTCAGTATTGGAAGATAATTTTGTTTATATATATATATATATATGTGATTTTTAGATGCCGTTATCATAATTTGTATTATCTTTTAACGTATTTTAATCATTAGTTTCATATTTTTGCCAGTCCAATTTTTTATGGTTATACTGATTTTTTACACATTTCACTATTTTTTGCGTTTGCAAGTTTGATATAATAAAAAGAAGAAAAAACTTTGAAACGATGCAACAGCAGCTAGCAACAACCAACTGCAATCTACACACAACAACACAAACCACACACACAACCAACTGCAATCTACACACAACAACACAAACCACACACACACACACACACACACACACACACACACACACACACAAACCACACCAGAATACACAGAGTAGAATCTATTTCCACCGCAGATCTTCTGGGAATCTTCAACGCTGCCGTCACAAGCTAGATGGCAGTATCTTTGCGGTACCTTCTCTTCGGGTTCGGCTCCGTAGTAGCAAAGCGTTCTTTTCTGGTTTCAGCGTACGATAAGAATGATCAGCGTATGATAAGAATGATCATTGACGCATCAACAAACAAATAAACCTTTGAAAATTAAAATCTAAAAATAAAATTTTAAACCAGGTAGTAGCAAAATTCGCGCACCTTAAATGCGAACACGATGTTCGCCTTTGCGCGTTTTTGACATTCGCTGACGCACGACGAGAAAGAGTAGTCGCCTATTATCTTCTGGCCTTTGAATACTGCAAAGCATCCGATGTAGGTGTACACGTGGGTCAAAGTTTCATCTTGTTGAGTTCATTAAGTTGAATTTAAATTAAAATTAATTAAAAATCAATAATGATTAATTAGATAAATGAATAAATGTTTAAATGAAAAAAATATCGAAACTATTGTAAATTGTGATTTTGTTATAGTAGATTGTATAATCTTCATCAGATGCCATTTTTTATTACAATTTTCGCAGAATGTCGTTTATTTTTACTTTTTTGAAACACGTGAATAAAAAAAAGATTTGTTTTGTTGCCGTTGGGCATATTACTTGCATTATTATGATACTTAAATGTTGGCAAAATAACGTTAAATACAGTGACATATATCGCCGATAAAATGTTTGGAGAATCTCAAATTAATTCAATCATAAACATCATCACCGAAATTAACCACCTCCAAACACTTCGATTACTTACATTATTACTTAAATGTTGGCAAAATAACGTTAAATACAGTGACATATATCGCCGATAAAATGTTTGGAGAATCTCAAATTAATTCAATCATAAACATCATCACTGAAATTAACGCATAGTTAACCACCTCCAAACACTTCGATTTCGGCGATCGAATACTTGGCACTCGACGGAATTTTCTCAAACTTGAAATACATGACACTCGTGGCGATAACTCTTGATGACTCTACACACGGCATGATCATCGGCATGCCGGGACAGGCCAGACTTTTTGTGTACTTGCGACAAAAAGTCAGAGAGTTCTTCATACTGCTGGCCGTCATGTTAGCGACTTCCCTTTCGCCCAAATATATTTCGAGGTTTCTTATACATGAGCTGTTTGCCTCTTTAAAAAAATTACTTGTTATTAATCGTATTCAATTATTATCCTGCAATTAATAAGTAAACAATTATCGCTGTGAATAATTTTTATTCTAATTTTATTTTGAATTTCTCAACCTAATTCTAATTTCCGATACAAACGCATAGAGGACTGACTCATATTTTTGGCGTGATAGAGAGTAACATAGTGAATATAGAAGGACACGTGGAAAGATATGGAGAAGAAAGAAACGGAGGTGTACTCCATATCATTCTGGACAATCAGCCCGTCCACCAATGACGTCACCCCCAGCTGTTGCAGAACCAACTTTGAATCGACTAGCGACTTATACATCATCGGTCGATACAATGCGATGTTGGTGGTCTTCATCATCGCTATGGAGAAAAAAATTTGGATTAATTTTTTTTTATATCCATCTATTTTATTTGAGATTAATGAATTTTTAATTATATATACAACTTTTTATACTGATATCTATTAAATGTTTCTTTAATTTAATGTTCTATATTTTATTCACCTTCTTCAGGTGGCACGTAAGTTTGATGCTAGTGATACATTTTAAACAGTTTGTAAAATAGCTAGTAAGAATGATTACGTAGACATTTTCCGAATGTGTAGTAATTGTCATCACTGCAGAAACATTCGGCATACTGTACCCCGTTCACTGACAGGCGTTTGCATATGAATTCTTCGCCACAATCTCCATTTTGAACGAAACAGTCTGAAATCAGTTTTTATAGAAAAAGATAACCGCAACAAAAACGATTCTTGCAGATTCAAATAGGAAGCTCAAGTACAAGACATTTTTTTTTTCAAAGAGATTTGGTATACATATTTTTTTCGTTTGAATAAAGTTTGCCTTGCGAAGCTTACATTTAAAAAGAAATAGTTTTTATGCTTGAAAAGGTTGTATAAAAATGGTTTGAAGTAAGAGAAGTTTGTAAATTTTTTAAAACTTGCAAACGGACAAAATACAGAAAAATACATTCGAAAAAAAAGTTTAGTCAAAAAATTAGTAAGAAAGACAAACAGACAGACAGACAAACGGACAGACAGACAGAAGAATATACAAATCAGAGATAACCAATACTTCTTTGGTTGCACTCGGAACCTGTCCAGCCTTCCTGGCACAGACCCCCAGAACCTGGGGTGTTCATAAGACTTAAGGGGCTGTTCTGCCAATGGTGGAATACTGATTTTCCGCTTTGAAAAACAAGTTGGCTGAATGCTTCGTGCAGATTGAAGTTGTGGAATTAGTTGTAATGGTTGAAAGATGAAAAAGTTTAATGATTAGATGAACAAAAAATTTTCGTAGGTTCTTAAAATTTACAATTTTTCAAAAAAATTTGTGATTAGTATATTGATTAATCGGCTCTGACGACTATAACGATCATTTAGCTCATTAGACCAAAATATGTGTAATCTTATTTTAACGTTACACCGACGAGATAATTTTAATTTAAAATATTTCTAAAAATATTAACGCAATTATAAGAACAGCTTTGTTGGAATGTTGATGATTTTTTAGTAAACATTCAAACTAACTACAAATCAATAACAAAGGAAGAGACTTCATACTGCTCTGCGTGTTGTAACAGAATCTGAGTCTGTCAGATTTTGATTTTATAAAGAATAATAATAATCAAAAAAGATATAAAAAAACTTGAGTATATGGGCAGGCACTGGTAGCCCCCGCAGATCTGAGTCTGGTCCCCTTCGCAAAATTTGTGGCAAGAAGGGTCATAGGAGGGCTTTTCACATTGACCTTCCATCAGTAGAGCGCAACAACATTGTGTGTCTTTCTGACATAATGGCGCGTCAACAGAAGATATAATGAAATATTATCACGATGATTGAAAAAAATTCGGAACATTTATTTTGGAAAAATAGCGCTGGATTCAATCATATCAAAGTATTGAATCTTGAAGCACTATTAAATTAAATGCAATGCGACTTTTTTCTACACAGCCTCGTTTGAACTTCAATAATTTTAATAATTATTTTTCATTAGTTTTAATTTCAATAAATTATTTTTCACTAAAATGAAAACTCAAAAATTTCAAATGAGACCAGAATGGTATGAGGGAACTTCATCTCACTGCATGCGGCTATGCACAGCTGAATAGAGATAACGTTGAGAGCGTCGAAGCATTTTTTCGTGTTACTGAATGGCAGGGACATGATGTGCGAGAAATCGAGATGTGGTGCTTTTTTTACTGTTAGTAGTTTGTAGTTGATGGTGTTAGTTTTTTTTTCGTGAAAATAACAATTTTATCGAAATTTCTAACATTTTTCCTTTGTATAATTATTTATTTTATATTATTTTCATGCTCCTTACATATTCAGGTTGAATTTATTTTTACTTCTGAGTTTCCTACATTAAAAATTTTTTGTCAATGTGTGAATTTTTTATAGAATTGTGTAAGGGGAAAAATCGTTTGACAAAATTATTGAAATGTTTGCGGACAGGATTTTAAAATCGAGTTATAAGTTAGTTATTGGAAAATTTTTCATAAAAGTTTGAAAATGATTATTAAATTAATACTTTTCATTGTTTAAAACGTCAAAAGAATTATCTACTGACTTGAAAAAACTGAATAAAACATTTCACCACCACAATTATCGATCTTATTATTGCAGAGCATGTTACATTTGCTGGAGGAAACCATAAGGTCTACTCGAACGACGCAGTAGCATTCCGTCTTGTCCTTGTCAACAAAATGAAAAACATTCCTTCTTAATATTTTAAATTAATGATCATGTTTGTGTTTGTGAAATCTCAGAAATTTTAACATAAAATTGTATAAGACTCAAATAAATATTGTTGTCTCACCATTTCTAAAAGTTTGATAATGGAGACCATTTTTTAGTTGTAGGTTTTAGCAAGACGATTAATTTGATAAACATTTACACGAACACTTATTGGTATACAATGGGGCTTAAAATTTGCAGTTTAATACTAAAAATATTGATCAATTAAATCTAAGGAATAATACAAACTTAGTAAATGAAACGAAAAACATTTTTAAAATAACCAAACTCTGAAAGCAATCAGGTATGAGTTTTCATCGTCCATACAGAATGTTTTGCACTCCGTGTAGGAATCAACGAAGCAAGCACTGGATGGTATGACACTCGAAAAACAACCAATATACTCTTCATGTCCATCTTTTCGGTTCAAAATTAGTAATTTTTAGTTTTTATTATTCACGATAAAAAGTGAATGGTGCCTGGCTCTGATATTGCCAGTCACTAGATTCCCTACCTAACCTACCTCTTGCAACGCCTGGGTTCAACTGACGTGTATGTACAATTGGGTAGTTACAACATTAAAGGTAGAATATTTTATAGGAAATTTAACTGCCATTTGGCTGAAAATGGTACTTGCAAAGTTTTAGCTCAATTGGATAGTTCTAATCCGGGCCTCATCGAGGTTGAAATCTTGAAAAGTTGAAAAAATTTAGAAAAAAAACATACTTTTTTGTTTTTAAAAGAAAAATGGTTCACTCTAAAAATATGATTTCGGCCTAATTTTGTTCAACTGTGTATTCTCTCCAAATCAATCAATCTTCGTTTTGCGTCCAGATTCTCTCCATTCTCTCCAAATGTTATCGTAAAAATTATTTAGCAATAACAAAATTTTTCAACAGAAACAGAAACCAACAAAAGAATTAGCAGCAACATTAAAGTAATAATTACAAGAGAAACATAAGAAATGTTGGGCTTTAGTGCGTTTTTGTAATAAAAATAATCACGGTAATAAATCATGCACATTATATTGAACACAAAAGCTGCTGCTACCACTACTACTACTGCTACTACTACTACTACTACTACTACTACTACTATTATTACTACTACTACTACTACTACTACTACTACTACTACTACTACTACTACTACCTTAGTACTTCTACTGCTACTACTACTGCTACGACTGACCTGTCCTCGTATTACGACGAAATAAAAAATTTAAAGAATATACAAATGTAAATAAAAATAAAGGTTTATCCATTATTATCCATAAAAAATTACTAAATAAAATTAATATTTAACTAAATATTTATTTAATTCTGTGCATCATTATTTATATAAACAATACTGATTTATGTAAACAAAAGATTTTCTAATCAATATTTTATGATAATTTTTCACGCGTTTTTATGAAAAATTTAATAATATTTTTTGGTTTTTATTTTAAGAATAAACAATTCATTAGTTAATTAATTTTTTTACAATAATATTGTGTAAAATATCTTATTAGGACTTATGATTATTATTTTTCAATGTCTATAAGATAATTGTGATGTCATATTTAGAAAATATTTTGCTCTGGCTAAATATGAAATTATTTTTACAATAAATCACATTTTTGAAAGGATTTGGTGTTTGCCTATGAATAGTGAGTGATCCACAAATATTTTATTTGTGAATAAACATTTTAAATTGAGAATATTGATTGAGAAGAAAGTTCTGAGCACAAGTTGTGATGACTTCCATCATAGATATGTTTCAAATTTGGAAATTTAATTACGAATTTTTATGTCGGGTTTGGTTGTTGTTGATTTGTTATTTAAAATTTTAGTTACCTTATTTTTATCATAAATTTCAAGGTAAGCAATAACAAAAATATAAGAGTTTTAAGATATATTTATTATTCCAAATATTAAATGTCTATAATTAAAATTCCAAAAATTAAAATAATTGTCAATTATTGAAAAAGCATTTCACTGCAGTTTCTTAAAAACAGAATTCCGGATTAAGAGCCTTGTAACTTAAGGTTTTGCTTGGGAATCGAGCCACTGGTTGTAGGATGAAATCCTAGTGTAGACGGATGGCATGCTAGTTCCACAACCGGCTGAGCCCCACGACGTTGCTCCAACCAGCTTCCACACTTTTGGTGAGTCCTCGCAGACCAGAGGATCGCCAGAATCACCCTATGAATAGCATTTAAAAAAAAAGATTCCAGATAAATTTACACAATCTTATTAAAAAGTATTTAGGCTCAACTTACATTGCATGCGCCTGAAGAGTAATCTTTCAAATCATGAACGCACACGTGCCCAATTGGACCCACTAGGCAATCCATGGTGTATAAATTTCAAGAAGCAAGACAAAGAGAAAAACCTACACGAAGATGGATTGACTGCTTGGACAATGATCTACAACGGGCAGAATTGTCCAAATATGGAGTTACGAAGAAAAGAACAGATGAAGAAGAGGTACGGGATAGAGACTGGTGGAGATATGTCGCGAGGAAATCAGCGACTGCACACAGCTGATGGATGAAGATGATTATAAGTCCTGTTTTGTCGTTAATTGCACTATTTTTGTTGAAGACTCCAAGTAAGAAAACGTGTTAGAAATAAATGCGTGAAAATTTTACGTGTAAATGCTCTCTAAAACAGAAAAATAATTACTTAAAATTTTTGTGACTTCATATAAGTTTGGGTTTGTCCATAGAGGTTGTCTACGCTTTGTGCCTTTTTTGACTTTCCCTTCTCTCATAAATAACCACATGGTGGCTAAATATTTTAAATGTTTATTCCAAATTTTAAATTTCACAGAAAGTTATTAATAAGTAAAAATCTACTGAATCAGATATTGTTGGATCTAAAAAAATAAACAGACACATATCTTCATTGAGTGAAACGAAGTAGTGCATCAAAGAAGCAAACTTATTAGAGGCGTACCTACTGAATGCATATAACGTTTTATAAAATTTGAAGACAAATTTTTATTAATTTACATTAGAAATTGAAATGTGCAGAGCTCTTTAGATAATAATTGTAAATTTGTTTTAGAATTAATAATAATAATAACAGTAATAATAATAATAATTATAATATTAATAATTATGCCATTTTGTAAAGCGCTATGGCAACCGATTGAGGTGCATTATATTATTACAACAAACACACATTGTTTAATATCACGTGAATCAAGGCGAAACACATTTTTTACACGTGAAAGGCGCGGATTTCTTTACATTTAAACCTAAACACTGCATCAACAACACCAATCCATGTACCTTTACTATTGCACCTATGCGACTCCAGTTTTTGTGACCTGATTTTATCATGAATTTCGTGGCATTGGTCCCACCGACGCCATGTAAGCAATGTCGTTAAAAAAGAAGAATATAAGATTTCTAAGATGTATTTTTTATTCCACAAATTAAATTTCTATAATTAAAATTCAATAAATTAAAGTTATTCAATTATTGAAAAAGCCTTTCACAACAGTTTTCTAAAAACTGGAGTCCGTATTGTAACTTAAGGTTTTGCCTGGGAATCGAGCCACTGGTTGTAGGATGAAATCCTGGTGTAGACGGATGGCATGCTAGTTCCACAACCGGCTGAGCCCCACGACGTTGCTCCAACCAGCTTCCACACTTTTGGTGAGTCCTCGCAGACCAGAGGACCGCCAGAATCACCCTAAGAATAACATTAAAAAAAGATTCCAATTAAATTTAGACAATCTTATCAAAAAGTATTTAGGCTCCACTTACATTGCATGCGCCTGAAGTGTAATCTTTCAAATCATGAACACACACGTGCTTGTCTGTAATTCTGGATCCCCATTTAGCCTGGCATTGTTCCTTAGTGATGACATCAATTTTTGATTCCACGAGATCTTTTGGCAAAATTCCACCACCTGCCATTGAATAATTTGTTAAACGTGAAACATTGTGACAGTTGAAAAATGAAAGATCTCACCTGTCAATCTTCCCCATCCAGTAATGTAGCAGTTTTTGCCAACATAGTTGGTTGAGTTGGCTCTTTGAATGTATTTGAACCGTCATGTTGACTGAAGAAACTTCATTAATGGACTTCACCCATGATATGTAGGCAATGTCGTTTGGGTAACCTAAGTACCCATTTTCATTGTATTCCGGGTGCTACAATTTTTATCACTCAATAAATTATCGTTTATAGGAAAAAAACTGAACAAATTACTCGTGTGGCATTTTTTAGAGTCCTTGTAGTGCATTGACCAGACTCACAATTCAGGCAGTTGCTATTTGTGCCGGCCAGAATTCGGTAAGTATCACTGTTAATTAAAAAATTTGCAGTTTATTTTGTGGTAAGCTGACTAATTTAATTCTTATAAATTATAAATTAGTAGTTGTACTTACGGAAGTCCTCCAACACAGTGGGCTGCAGTTACTCCCCAAGTTGCAGCCACAAGTGAAGCACCACAGTTAAATCTGCCAGAAACATACAGTGCCAATTGCCAGGGCCACTCCCCTCTGTCTGCTACCACCCCGTCAACAATGCGAGACTCTGGAGCCGCATGAACCGCAGCCAAGAAGACCACCAGCAAATTTGCAACTAACATCTTCATCGTTCAGTGTCTAACTTGTCGGGACGAATTGAACAAGTGATGATCGCTCAGAAACTTGGGTATTTATTTAAAATTTTATTGTAAGTAAGCAGACAATTTGGCGCAAACGTTAACAAGCTAATTCTTATCTTTTATCGTGAAATAATTTCTTAACAATTGTGAGAACTTAACCAAATGCCGGTTCATATGATAATATTAAGGAGGCTTTCAAAAAAATAGATTATCACTTTGAGTTACTCTTAAACTTTTATAATTGTTTTTACTAAACATTAATAAAAGTAATGATAGTTTTTATGTATTGATTATTTTGTTCTTTTATTTTTGTCAGTGCTTTCAACAAAAAGCACGTTGAAAATACTTTTTTGAATATCTTTCTGAAAATTGAAATTGGGCTGACAAGAACTTGCTGACTTGCCGTTTGCAGCTTTATAACAAGAACCATAGAGGCACGATTGTTGCCAGCATAACAAGGATCGCGTTGCAGTTTTGCGGATTAGGAACTGCGATGAAAAGTTTATACGGAGCTCGGAAATATCAGAATGGCCGGTAGAAATTATGTTACAGTCGGAACGTGCAAACGTTGTAGCAGGTATAATGCTATGAAATTATAAAGCACGTGTTGAACGATTACAACTATGACACCATTATATTGTGTGAAGTAAGATGGACTGGCCAGGGTGAAGTAAAATAAAGTGGAATTATTTGGTCAGGAGAAAAATTTTATGAAAGAAGAGGAGGAATGATGCTATCAGAAAAAGCACAAAAATCCAGTAAATGACAGTCTAATGTACGCTAGTTTCAGGCGATATCCGAGATTGTAGCTTACTCGCTAACTACAGACTATAATGATGAAGAAATTAAAAAAGTGACAAGAAGGGATGGGAAAATATGAAATAGAAACAGAAATAATAGAGGAGAGATGTTGCTAGAATTTGTCAAAAGAAAAGATTAAAGTTAAATTTTCTCAAATTATCTATTGAGGTTTTTATTTTGGTGTGTTTGGCTTACATTAATCATTAAATTCCTAATATTCGATCTTTGAATCGTTAGTTGTGTTAGGATTAATAAACTACACATTCAATAATAGTTTAAATTTTATTTTTCAGGCAAACTAAACAAAATTTTGAGTTTTTAAAGTTTTATCAATAATTTGAAAAGTGTCATCAAATGTAGCAATTGAAATTTTAATGCTAAATGCTGATTTTTTAAGCTTTGTCCAGTCCAACCACATAACTTAAGGTTTTGCCTGGGAATCGAGCCACTGGTTGTAGGATGAAATCCTGGTGTAGACGGATGGCATGTTAGTTCCACAACCGGCTGAGCCCCACGACGTTGCTCCAACCAGCTTCCACACTTTTGGTGAGTCCTCACAGATCAGAGGACCGCCAGAATCACCCTAAGAATAACATTTTTTTTCCAAATGGCTACCAATAAAATGTAAAAAATTTTATCAAAAATTATTTATGCTCCACCCACATTGCACGCTCCTGAGCTGAAATCTATCAAATCATGAACGCAAACGTGCTTGTCTGTAATTATGGATCCCCAGTGTTTCTGACATTGCTCTTTAGTGAGAACATCGATTCTTGTTTCCATGAGATCAGTTGGCAAAACTCCACCCCCTATCAATATGAAATTTTATAAAATGAAAATATTGTGGCAGTTTAAATATAAAAGATCTCACCTTTCACTCTTCCCCATCCAGTAATGTAGCAGTTTTTGCCAACATAGTTGGTTGAGGTGGCTCTTTGAACGTATTTGACCGTCATGTTGACTGTTGAAACTTCATTAATAGGCTCCGCCCATGATATGTAGGCAATGTCGTTGGGATAGCCTAAAGCTCCACTTCCACTGTATTCCGGGTGCTAGAAATTAATTACTCAATTAACGATCGTATATAGCATATATATATTTGAAGAAATTGAGCATCTTACTCTTGTAGCGTTCCTCAGAGACCTGGTAACACAGTGACCAACCGAACAAATCAAGTTGTTGGTGTTTGTGCCGGCCAGAATTTTGTAAGTAACACTGTTAATAAAATTAATTTGCAGTTGATTTATTTGTACATTGACGAATTAAATTGCGAATAAAAAATTAGTAGTTGTACTTACGGAAGTCCTCCAACGCAGTGGGCAGCTGTGACTCCCCAAGTCGCAGCCACAATTGAAGCACCACAGCTAAATCTGCCAGAAGCATACAACGCCATCTGCCAGGGCCACTCACCCTTGTCGGCTTTCACCCCGCCAACTATGCGAGACTCTGGAGCCGCATGAACGGCAGCCAAGAAAATCACCAGCAGGTTTGCAACTAACATCTTCATCATTCACTGTGTCTAATTTGTCGGAACAAATTGAACATTTGAAGATCGCTTAGAGGCTCGAATATTTATTCAAATGTTTCACCCAATGCAACAAGGAAATTTGATAAAAACAACATCTGTATAATTGATAACTTATCTGTTTTCGCAGAAAAAATTTTCAAACAATTGTGAAAGTTCAACCAGTTGCTGTTCATTAAATAACGCGGATGATTATTTGAAGTGACTTACTGTCATATTTTAAACAACTTCATATCTCAACCAAAATCATTCATTAGTTATTGTTAATAATTTTAAAGTAGTTGCTTCTATTGTTTTTTGTATATGGTTCATCACGTTGGTTTAATTTTTCAATGCATGTTTGAACATCTTTCTGAGAAATGTAAGGAATATACAAATTATTAATTTTAAATTTATTCGGGTTATATACTTCTGTGATTTTCTGTTAGAATTATAAAAAATCACAACAATTCTGACGACAAATATTTTTGTCCACTTATTCGTAAAAAACCAACTGGTTTAATAATGAGAGAGAAAGTTATTTAGTAGTCAATTGATTAGTGTAACACCAAGAACAAATCGACTGGCGGGTGTTAGTGAAAAGTTGACGGGCCAAATTTAAAAAAATTGCCGAATTTATTCAAACAATTTACACATACAAATAAAGTGAATAAACTAAATTTGAAAATCCGTTTTATCTTTCGACCTAAACTGTAGTGAATATTTTTTTTTATCAAAAACACTTTTATCTGTTTATAATGGAAGTTGAAAATTTAAATGAAGTTGAAAATTCAATATTTGGAAACGTCAAGGCAAATCTCCCCAAGGTCAAAGATAAAAGATTTTTGAAAATTTTCGGCCCTATTTTATAGAGTTTCTTTCTTACCATTCCAACGTCGTTAACTGAACAGTACATATACTGCCACTTAAATACTAAGTATCGAGTTTTTTTTATCGTAGTCACGAGCAGTAATAGAATTGCCAATAACCCGTCTGCTCTACTCTCTTCTGCTCCCGTTACCGAAAAAATAATTCTCAATGTATGTATAAATTTTCTTTTTTTTTGTGGTTTTTGCTCTCAAAAGTAATAAACCTATGACCATTTTTTGTAATATAATGTCTTTATTTAAATGTTTGAAATGACGAAATCGATTGAGGTACAAAAAATAGGTCCTCAGCAATTTTTAAACATCCTAAACAAACTTTCGGCAGCAAAATTAATGACAACAAATACATACAAACTTTCGTTCCCTATGTAAGTCACTCAAATGATTTTTTTGCTTAATACAATATTTTTCCGCTTCTTAGAAGGGAATACTTTTGTATGAATGTTAGTGTGCATGGAAGATTTGTTGCAAGGGATGAGGCGAGTAGAGGTCGGTGAAGATGCTACTAAAATGGATGGGATTTAAATTTACAGTTGCTATGCAATTTTGAAATTTCAAAACTAAGTTATGAATTTTAATTGTTATGTGTTTGACTCAAATTAGTTATTGTTGTATAGGTAATGTTAAACATGATCAGCGTAATTTTGTTTTGATTGACAAACAACACATTTGGTCAAATTTTTAGGATTATGTTTCAAAGTTTTTTCAATAAATTTGAATAAAACAATTTAATAAAGTAAACATAAGAATTTCAAAGTTTTTTAATAATTTCGAATAAAGCAATCTAATGAAGCAATTTTTATTTCAAAGTTGTTTCTTTAAGCCGTGTCTAGATTATGTAGCTATGTAACTTATGCTTTTGCCTGGGAATCGAGCCAATCGTTGTAGGATGAAATCCTGGTGTAAACGGATGGGTAGGTAGGTCTGCACCCTACTACGCCCCATGATGTTGCTCCAACCAACTTCCATACGTTAGGTGCGTCTTCACAAACAAGCGGACCGCCAGAATCCCCCTTGAAAATTTTTAGTGGTAAATTAGAAAGAGAAATATTTTTGTTTTAACCGTAAATAGAGTTATAATTTAGGCTCCACTTACATTGCATGAGGCCGATGTGTAATCTTTCAAATCTTGAACGCACACGTGTTTATCAGTAACTTTGGTACCCCATATTTTTTGGCATTGTTCCTTAGTGAGCACGTCAATTTTTGCTTCTAAAAGGTCCAGTGGAAGGCTTCCACCTCCTGTTTATTTTCAAATTTAGTTTAATCGTTGGCATTCGATTATGGAACAACAAATCTAAAAAAATTGAAACCTTACCTACGATCCTTCCCCATCCAGTGATGTAGCAGTTCTTACCGACGTAGTTGAGTGATGTGGCCCTCTGAATGTATTTGACGTTCAAGGTTGTATTGCTGACTTCCTTGATTGGCTCCACCCACGCCATGTACGCAATGTCGTTCGGGAAACCCAAATTTCCATCGCCAACGTACATAGGATGCTGGGAAAATTTTCAAACATATATAACTTTACAACTTACAACTCAAAAAAAAATTAAGAAATATTAATCTTAATGAAGAAACGAGCTTGGTACCCTGGTAGCGTTCTTTAGAACCCTGGTCACACAGTTGGCTGAAGTACAGCTCAAGCTGTTTCTGTTCGTTCCGCCGAGAATTTTGTAAATGGATCTATAAAAATATTTTTAAAAACATAAACAGAACATACGGAATTTAAAATTAACAAAAAACCAACGGAAGTTTTCCAACGCAGTGGGCAGCAGTCACCCCCCAAGTCGCAGCCACAATTGAACCGCCGCAGTTGAAGTTTAGTCCATCATACAGGGCCAATTGCCAGGGCCACTCCCCGACGTCAGCCTTCACCCCATCAACAATGCGAGACTCCGGAACCGCATAGACCGCAGCCACGAAGACCACCAGCAAGTTTGCAACTAACATCTTCATCGTTTAGTGTCTAACTTGTCGGAACAAATTGAACCAGTGAAGCTCGTTCAGAGACTCGGGTATTTATTCAAAATTTTATCGCGGTGCAATAAGAAAATTTGATAAGAACAACATCTGTAGAATTGATAACCTCAATGCCAATCACCAGATTGAGTTTATCTTCATATGAGAGTGAACTTTATTTAATTTCTGAGATAAGAGTGACGTTTCGTGGATTGAGGAAAGTTACGGTATAGGACCTACCATTTTGCCAACAACCGATCGTTTTATATTCTTAGAAAAACTTTTGAGACTTGTCACTCAATTGAGCTTGATAAGTTGTTCTACTCATTTTGAATATTTTCAGTTGTTTTATAATTGTGTTTGATGTCAATGTTCTGATAAGCAATGAATGGCCAATTACTGATAGGTTAGATGTGAATTCTGCCGTATGCTGTCATTTCACTGATCGCTTTGAATATTTTCTAACATTTATTTACAAAATGTAAAATTTAGAAACGCAATTAAATTAAGTTGCATTGTTCTATAATAATTCATTTATTCATTTTAAACTATAATTGACATCTTTGGCCGACGATTCACTAGCAACTGGTTCAATTTCTTATTTTAAAATCTTCATTCATAAATGTTAATTTCATTATTAATTTTTAATTAGTTGTTTAATTGATATTTTATTATTTGTAATTTTTTCATATTAGAATAATTTTTTTTAAAGTAATAATGTATTTTCTAATTGATATTTATATATATATATATAGATATATATATATAAATATTGACTTTGTCAAGATTAACTTTGACGTTGTAAAAATTAACTTTGGTGTTGTAAAATTGAACTTTGATGCGAATTAGGTGTCAGGTTTAGGTGTTAATCTTGACAAAGTCAATATTTCCCTATATATACAGCAAGGAGCACTGACGATGATTCATTCGGAATCGAAATATGGCCTTATTTGCAGCATGAATTCGAAAAATAAGTTATTTTGAATTTTAATAAACTAAACGTTCACCAAAAAACTTTAGTGAGAAAAATCGAAAAAACGAACTACAAACATATTAACGCCAAACATTCGGTAGAATTTATAGAATATTGTAAAAATTATGGTCTATTACCAACATATATATATATATATATATATATATATATATATATATATATATATATATATATATATATATATATATATATATATATATATATATATATATATATATTTATTTAGAAACTTTATTTTATTTAGAAACATTTGTATAGCGCAAATTAATAATTTCAAAAGCGCCATCAAAAATAAAATAACAATAACTGTGCATGATTGATATAAATCAAAATATTCAAATTCATTGTTTTTCCACAGAAAATAAGTATGTTTTTAATTCCCTTTTAAATGTCACAAAGTTAATTCCAGATCTTCTTAATGAAACTGGTAGGTCATTCCAGACTGTCGGACCTGCGACCGCAATATCACTCGCACCTATTCGTAGATGCCTAGCTGGGACCGCCAAAAGATTCATATTATCTGATCTTAGATGAAAACAGGTTGTAGATGCCTTTCTGGAAAATTTGTCTGAGATGTAAGCCGGTGACATTCCATTCAAGGATTTAAACACAATCACTGCAATTTTGTCTTTCATATGATGTGGTCTTTCATAGATAGCTCATTATCCAGTAGAATCCCCAAATTGACAGCTGTTGTACTAAAGGATATGTTTGTATCTCCTACTTTGATTGAAGTGACATTCATCTTCGATAACTGCTGCCATGTCCCAACTGGGAGGAACTGAGTCTTACATTGGTTTAACTTCAATGAATTATCGGACATCCAACGGCCAACGTCCGACATACATTTATTAAATCTGTTTATTTCATCTACAAATGATCTCGGAGAACCGGTGATCAGCACCTGGATGTCATCCGCAAAGGCATGACAAACAAATCCGTGGGAACTGATTATTTTTATTATATCTGATGTATAAAGCAGAAACAGGATGGGTCCCAGTACAGATCCCTGCGGCACCCCCGATGAGACCAACGATACATCTGACACTGTGTTTTTAAAAGCGACCTGTTGTGTACGATTTTTGAGATATGACCTGAACCAGTCACGGGCAACTCCAAGAACACCATAACTGCACTCCAATCTCTTTATAAGCATGTCATGATCCACACAATCGAACGCTGCTGACATATCAAGGAATGATAGTACCGATATGTTTTGAACCTCAGCTGCAGCAAACAAACTTGATAAAACATATAACAAAGCTGTTTCGGTGGAATGGAACCGTCGATACCCAGATTGATACCTTGGCATAAGATCGTTGTCTGTTAAATATTTCAGTAGAAACCCATTCACAACACGCTCCAGCACCTTTGATAGAAATGGTAGGTTAGAAATTGGTCTGTAGTTTCCAATTTCCCCGTCATCGCTGCCGACTTTTTTCAGAATCGGAACAACTGTGGCATGCTTGAAATAGTCTGGCACTATGCCTTTTTTTAAGCAGAGATTTATGAAACTAGTTAGAAAACTTATAAAAAAACTTTAGATATTTCTTAAAAATGTGTGTTGGCATGATATCAAGTGAACAAGTTTTAGACGGAGAGTCAAGTATAATCTTCACAAGGTCCTCCTCAGCGATTTCAGGAAATGATGTCAATGCTCAGAAATATATATATATATATATATATATATATATATATATATATATATATATGTATGTATATATATATATATATATATATACACATGTATATAGCATCTGGAAGCCTCTGTAATAGCAGTGCGTACTGAGTGTGGCGCTACATAAATATTCGTACTATTATTATTATTATTATTATTGTCATTATTGTTGTTATGAGGAAACATTTCCTGATAAAAACTTGTCAGTCAATAGAATTAGTTTTTAAATTTTCATTTTGATTGAATGGAACAACAACAGACGTGTGGCTTTTTTGAGGTCATTATTATTTATTACAAAAATAATGTCTCGCTGAACAATATTCGCAAAATGTTATGTTACGGATTAAATTATCACATATAGAAATGAAATAACAAAAAATGTTAGTCAGAAATTCTCATCCAAAATTCTAAACTAATGAGAATACAAGTTGCTGAATAGGTACCAATGAGATTAGACTCTTGCCAATTACTAGCTTTTTGAACTGCCATCATCTGACGAAGTTTTCAGGCCTAAAGATCCTTCCTTTTGCGCTTCCACTATGTTTAAATGTTATTTCTTGGAATCGTTTTTACATTGAATAAATTTTAATATATAAATACTTTTTTATTGAAATGTTATTTTATAGATTCTGTTTAATTTTACTTATCCCCTGCAAAAAATTTCTAAATTGGGAGGTAAGCCCCAAAAACCTATTTTGTTTACGTTCTTACTAAGTAAATAATGTCATTAAAGTTTGACAAAAATTTTAGACTAGAGGTTTTGTGATGGGGGGTTTGATCTTGATAGTTAGTTGGGGCACTATTTTAAAAGGGCGAATCTTTAAATACTCTTATAGAAAAAATACTTAAAAAGACTAATACATTTCTCAATTATTAATAAAAATTTGGTTAAAATGGTTAAAATAATTTTTTTCGGAAAACATAGCGTGGAAAAAGGTGAAGGGTGTCTTCAAAATGATGGCCTGTCAAGGGCTAATAAAGGTAATAATACACTTTTCTTACCTGGCCGATCAATTGAAACGTTCAAACACATGGTGGCTATTATGGTAAGTGAAACACAGAAGATGAGGAGAGCCAAGAAAGCGACCAATAAAGTCAAGACGTTCAGAGCATTCCCTTTTTCATTTCTGTAAAGTTTATCATTCGCGGAGGTTTTTACTATTAAAAATTATCGTGTAGCTGATTGTCTTTAAATGATACCGGAACACTAAATGCTTTATTATATTTTATAGAGACATGTTTATTTTAGTTGCTTTTCGTTTCGGTTCGTTTCGTTAATTCATTTTTCTCCAAAGAGTAATTGAGAAAAGAACCCTTACAATAGCGACTGATATCGACTTGGGAAATTAAGCCTAAATTTGAATAAAAGCGTCACACATATTGAAACTCGAGAGTACATCTTCCATTCTGTTGTTTACTTTTTGTTGAAAATAAATTAAAAAAAGTACTCTATCGAAAAGAGATTATTAATAATAAATGATAAGTAAATAAATGATCGAATACTTATTTTTTCTTCTTCTGGTGGAGAGTACGATGGAAGGATCCCCCTCAGGCCTCACTCTGCCTGGAAAAAAATCGCCAAGTAAATGTTTCAAAACTTTTGCCACGAATAATTTGTGAATTAAACTCCTTTTTCTTTTCGAAATATTATACTAATTATTTTTACCTAAATTACTTTGTGATTCGATACCTCTACTTTGATGAGTTTAATTACATTCATTTTGTTAACCTACTGCTTAACATTTTAAAACTAGAGTTTGAAAATTGTTTACAACAATTGATCCGTTAACATTACGATAGTATCAGTAAGACTTAGTTACTAGTGGTTTGACAATATCAAAAAATGAACGTACATTTACAGATAGGTAAAAGTGTAATGAGAAGTTTTTTATTAGTTTAATCGTTTGTACATTCTTTCCTTTATTCATTCATTCATTGATTCATTCATTCATCAACTGATTCATTCATTCACTCATTCATTCATTCGTTTGTTCGTTCATTCATTCATTCATTCGTTCGTTCATTCTTTAAGTTGTTCGTTTGTTCATTCATTTAATTATCCATTTATACATTCAATCATTTATTAGTCTAATCAATCGTTTAAATATTCACTCATTAATAAATCCAAAACTCATTCAATCATCAACACTCACGCACTCCCTCATTTCAATTTCTACAACGAAAATGTTAATTTTCAATGAAATCGTTCAACGCACGTACTTATGAATGATCCGTTGATTAGGAGGGCCATGTTACTCTCCGGGTGTTGGCACTCGACTATTAGACTTTCCTGTCTCACAATTGTTTCATTTAATTTTTTTTTAATATTTTACAAATAAAGCAGAAAAATGAAA